GGCTGCTTCCAAATCTTGGCTATTGTAAATAATGCTGCAGTGAAATTAGGAGTGCATATATTCTTTTGAATCAGCGTTTTGGGTTTCTTTGGATGTATTTCCAGAAGTGGGATTTCTGGGTCATAAGACAGTTCCATTTTTAATATTTTGAGGTAACTCCATACTGCTTTTCACAGTGGCTGCACCAATCTCAGTTCCCACCAACAGAGCACGAGGGTCCCTTTTTCTCCACATGCTCACTGACACTTGTTTGTTAATGTATGGCTTTGGCTATTCAGGGTCTTTTGTGGGTCCATATAAATTTTTCACATATTCTAGTTCTGTGAAAAATTCCATTGGTATCTTAATATGAGTTGCATTGAATCTATAGTTGCTTTGGGTAGTGTGGACAATTTAATGTAAATTCTTCATAGCCATTGAATATGGCATTTGCTTCCACTTATGTGTATCTTCTTCACTTTCTTCAGTGTCATAATTAAAAGTACAGGTCTTTTGCATCCTTGGTTAAATTGATATGTAGGTATTTTTGAAGCAATTGTGAATGTGATTGTTTCCTTAGTTTCCCTTCCTGATAGTTCATTATTGGTATATAAAATGCATCTGACTTCTAGGTATTAATTTTGTATCCTGCTACTTCACTGAATTCATTTATCAGTTCTAGTTGTTTCCTAGTGGAATCTTTGGGGCTGTCTATGTACAGTATCATGTCATCTGCAAATAATGATAGTTTTACTTCTTCCTTTCCAATTTGGATGTCTTTTATTTCTTCTTCTTGTCTGATTTCTGTGGCTATGACCTCCAGTACTATGTTGAATAAGAGTGGTGAAACAGAACATCCCTGTCTTGTTCCCGATCTTAAGGGAAACACTCACAGTTTCTGCCCATTGAGTGTGATGTTGGCTGTGGGTTTGTCATATATGGTCTTTGTTACATGTTCCCTCTATTCCTACAGTGCTGAGAGTTTTTATCTTAAGTGGGTGCTAGATTTTATCAAATGCTTTTTCTGCATCTATTGATATGATTATATGGTTTTTATCCTTCACTTTGTTTATGTGGTTTATCACATTTATTGATGGGACAAAATCTATGCTACACAGTGAAAGTGGTCATAAGTGGGAAATTCATAGCATTAGTAGCCTACCTCAAGAAACAAGAGAAATCTCAAAAAATAATCTAAATTTACACCTAAATGAACTAGAGAAAGAACAACAAAACCCAAAATTAGTAGAAAAAAGGAAAGGATAAAATTCAGAGCAGAAGTCAATGAAATGAAGTCTAAAAAACAATTCAAAAGATCAATAAAAAAGAAGAGCTGTTTCTTTGAAAAGGTAAACAAGACTGACAAATCTTTACCCAGACTCATGAAGGGAAAAGAGAGAGGACCCAAATAAGTAAAGGAGAGAGAAGTAACAACTGACACCAAAAAGCAGGACTGTAAGAAAATACAAACAACTGTGGGCTGACAAGTTGGATAATCTGGACAAAATGGATAAATTTCCAGTAACATACAATCTTCCAAAACTCGATCAGGAAGAATCAGAAAATCTGAGTAGACAGATTATGAAGTGAAGCAGTAATCAAAAGACTCCCAACAAACAAAAATCCTGGGCTGAATGACTTTGCAGGCAAGTTTTACCAAACATTCCAAAGAGAACTAACACCTATCTTTCTCAAACTACTAGTACTTTAATCAATTCAAAGGGAGAAAAAGCACCCAAGCTCCTCTTAGGAGGCCAGCATTATCCCAATTCTAAAACCAGATAAAGACACTACAGAGAAAGAAAATGACTGGCCAGTATCCCTGGTGAACAGAGATGCTAAAATAACTCAATAAAATATTAGCAAACTGGATGCAGGAATACACTGAAAAGACCATACACCATAATCAAATGGGATTTACTCTGGGGATGCAAAGTTGGTATAATACCCATAGCATTTTTGCTGTTACTTTGGGAAGATGCTAGTTTTTCAAGTTTCATGTACTATAATTGATGCTCTATCTTAGTTTGTTAAGAAAAACATAATATTTTCTTCTGAAAAGAAATAATCATGTTTTTAAAATCTATAGCACTAGTCCTGGCTGGTGTGGCTCAGTGCATTGAGTTCCGCCTGTGAACCAAAGGGCTGCAGGTTCGATTCCCAGTCATGGTACATGCCTGGGTTTCGGGGCCAAGTCCCCAGTAAGGGGTGCATGAGAGGCAACCACACATTAATGTTTCTCTCCCTCTCTCCCTCCCTTCCCCTATGTAAAAAATTAATTAAGTAAAATATTTTTTAAATCAATGTATAGTACTGTCTGTATAAGGGTAAGTAATGCAGAAATAAATGAATCATATCAGTATATTAGATATATTTTCAGTAATACAAGAATATTTCCAGTAACTTCATTTTGTTTTTCCAACATAACATGTAGCTCAATAGTAGAAAGCAGAAAATGTATTGTGAAGTCTCTTCTAAGGCCAGGCTAGGCCCAAAGCCACTACCAGGGAATCTGTGTACAGAATGTTTTTTTAAAAAATGTAGAGGGGGAGGAGAGGGAAAACATTTCTTTTTAAAATGTGACAATATAATGTTATTTCTAATGGGGGCTATAAAATTGCATTTTGTAGAATTAGTGACTATGCGTAAAGTAGGGCATCTCTTCCAGCAGTGTTAACCCAGGATTTCATCCAAAGAAAACTTGAGGCTGAACAGGTGCGGCATTCTAAGGATACAAAGTTGAATCATCTGCATCTCTAGTTACAGCAACTGAAGAGAGGACAAGGTAAGAACCACATGTGTTTGAGCTCATTGGCCTTAGACATTACAAAGTTATCTTCCGCCAGTTGGTAAGAGCCCTCTTGTTTGAGACCCTTAATTGTTTGGTTAGTCCAAAAAGTCATTTAAAGCAGGGCACTGTGAGTAACACATGTATTCTTAGATATTTTATCTTAAAATATAAATACTGTTTATTTGCCAATTATTTAATGTAGGAACTAGGCCTCTCTAAATTCTTAGCAGTGTTCTCTAATTGTCTTTCCTGTACAAATCGCGTGTATTACATGACATTGTTGTGAAACAGCAATACAGAAGTCTTGTAGATTTTTACTGTGTTTCCCCCTAAATGCCAGCTAGTACACTGATATAGATGGGTTCCTAGAACACTTGCCTAGCGGGGGAAGCCTGTACTACAAGGGTCCCCCCCTCCAGAAGACAATTCCAGTTTTGGGGGGTCCCCCTCATACCGACTGGTTATTAGCAGAGCATTTTATCAGTGTCTCTGAGAGCTGAGCTGTGTTTTCATTTCATTTCCTCATAGCTACTCATTACCTGTACCCTATACCTACCTATAATTTGCTTAAATATTTGCATTTTTCTCCTTTATTCTCAATGTGTAAAGGTGAAGATGGACAGTATAGGAATGTAAGTGGTCTCAAAAATACTTTCTTCAAAAAAACCAGACGACCCTACTTTGAAGATTCACGCACCACTATTTATTGGGTTGGTTTGGTTTTTTTCCTTTTTTGTTTGTTGTTACTCTAGTGTTTAAGGTCACATTAATCACATTGGAGGTCCACGCTGGATCTTGAATAAAATACCGAGGTTTAGAATAGGAAAAGTATTTATTGGTATAATTCAGCATGGTTTCAAAAATTTGAGTTTTAAAAATGAGTGACCTTTTTCTTTTTCCACTTTAGCATGATTCTAAGAAATAAATATAAGTAGTGTTTTATTTCACTCTCTACTTAAAGCATTTTTTGGAAACTGTGGTACGTCTGCATTTGAGTAAGTGGCAAAACGGAACCTTAGATGAAGACCTGGCCGGGCTGCAATCTCCCGCTGAGGTTAATCAATTGACAATTAGTGTTTCTTTAAATTTCCATCAAACCAGTATTGGTTTTGCTTCATTATCTTGCTTTATTCTTAAGGAACATCTGAGGAGGTTTTATAATTTTTAACTAGATTTTCAACTTCATTTTGTTGAAAGCAAATAATAGAGAGCGAACTTTTTAATTTAATTTTTTATTTATTAATTTTTTTAGACAGAGAAAGCGAGGGAGAGAGAGAAGGAAACATTGATTTGTCCTACTTATTCGTGCATTCATTGGTTGATCCTTGTACGTGCCCTGACCAAGGATCAAGCCCACAACCTTGGCATATTGGAACAAAGCTATAACCAATTGAACTACCTGACCAGGGCTCCAATTTTAAACTTAAATTGGACCTCAAATTAGCCCTCCTACAAGAATATGCCCACACCTCCAATCCCATACCTCTTCCTCACCCCTGAAAACAACCTGGAAGAATGCGCATTAAAATGTCAGTAGTGGTCATCTGAATAGTAATTTTACCTTTGAGCATTTCTGTATGTTGTAAAATATCTACAGTGAGCATTCATTAGTTTTATGACCAGGAGGGAAAAAAGACAACATTTTAAGCTAACACAGTCACTCTATTCCCTGGAAACACACATTCGGCCCAATTTATCAGACACCCCCCACTTGCAGTGGCCTGCCAGGGCTGCCATGGCAAACGCCTCTGACCGGGCGGCGTCACCAGCAGCGGTCGTTTTCTCACGGTTCCGGAGGCTGCAAGTTCTGGGCGTCGGAAGGTTCGCAGGTTCGCAGGTGGCCCACCTTCTCACGGTGCCCTCACACGGCCTTGATGCTCCGCTCCTGCACACCTGGCGTCTCTTCCTCTTAGAAGGACACCAGTCACGCCGTGTTAGGGCCCCGCCCCTAGGATTTCATGCAGCCTTCATTACCTCCTTAAATGCCATATCCCCAAATATGCTCACACTGGGGATTAAGGCTTCATCACTGACAGCGGACATACTTCAGTCCTTAACACCACTAATTCCCATCTAATCTAACACAAAAATCTCCAGCTCGGAATCCCAGATGGAACTCAATTCAATATGAAGAACTTTAATAGCAATGTGGGAGGGGGGAGAGAGGAAATTTCCTCTATCCTTCCAGGTTCTTCCTCCCAGCTGGTCCAAGTCAAATTGACACAAGACAGAGAGAAGAAAACCGAATTTAATTACTGTGTATGTATGGGAACTACACACACACGAGAGATTCAGACAAAGTTAGAAGGAGGCATACACAACATTCTGAGCTGGGGCTGAGGTCAGCAAGGTGCCTGGGGCTTCGAGGCGGGGAGGGCTTTGCAGGATGAAAAGAAAATGAGACGTTCCGTGATTCACAGTTGGCCCTGCCCTACAGATGGGTCATAAAAAGTTGTTTCTTTCCAAGATATGTACAGCGATGACATTTCTGTGTCAGACACTCCCAAGTGAAGAGGGAGAACGCGGTAAGGTCTATGATCGCAGAATGAAGTGCACACAGTGGGGTATTAACTCAGCAAAGAAGTCTGGGACAATGCCGTTCCACAGAAGTTTGTGCACTTCCCCCTGTGTTTTTAATATTAATTTCTATATGAATTCTAACAAAATTAAGTATCCTGTCAAAGATTTTAAAATATTCTTCATGTTTACTTTGTAGATCTGTCCGTTTTCTGGAAACATTAAAATGCTGAGAATTACACTTTTTAAAAAAAAAGTAATTTCTGGTGATAACCCATTATGGGCAGGGTCCCAAATTTAAATTCTTTAGGGGAGAGGCAAAAGTTCCTCATGAGCCCTCAGGATCTTGATGGCCTTCAGCTCGCAATAATACATGAGCCAAAGGGGCACATCTTGGCGAGCCTGTTCGGAACACAAAGTGTGCCGGAGAGTTAAAACCATTACACAGCTAATTTAGAAAAAAAAAAATAGGGAGTGTGAGGGGAAAGGGCCGTACTGCCTCAATAACCACTTGACTTTTCTCGCCCCACTTCATGTACGCTTTCCCTGTGTGCCGTCATCTACAACCCTGACATTGCCCAGTCTGAGCTGTGACTGCAAGCGTGGACCACTGCGCGGCACATTAGGTCACATCGGTGAGGGCCAGAGCCCAGCCCCATTGACAGGGCATCTGGCGAGCGGTCAGATGGGGCAGCTCCACCATGATGCCGTTTTTCTCCAAAGGGCTCCACTTCAGGGGCTGTCCATGTCCCAGAAGTCTAACCTGAAATTAAAACACACACACAAATGTCTCCAATTGTATCTCTGACTCACCCACTATACTGAGAAAAGATGGTTGATATTTCTTAAAAGCATGGTAGAGAAAGAATTCAGTTTTTTACTGTTATTTAGGAGTTCACAAGCTGTTTAATGCTGGATCAAAGAAAACATGCATCTTGCTCTTGTATTATTCTCAAATGAAAGTGTGAAGGATTTGGGGAAGAAGAATAGCAAAGGTTGAACGAAGTGCCGGAATAGAGAAAATGTGGAGGAGAGGAGCTGAGACAATGACTCTGGAGCCAGTCTGCCCATTCTATGTAAGTTCCTACACAGAATGTTTGGTTCCTCTCCTTTATCCAGCCAGACTTCCTCCCCAGATATTTGCATAACCTCCACTAATAAACAATGTTTAACTGTGACCAATTATTACTGTAATTGTTTTGCATCCTTCGTCTTATACTAAGTGAAGTTAAATAAAGTGTTTTCCACATAGGTGGAAATTCGACCCAGTTGACCCATAGGTGGTTATTTTGACCAATTAAATTTTGTTTATCATGTAGAGCAATATAAAAACAAAATCCATTAACTTTTAAGTAAGAGCATTAATGAGGGCCAAAGAGAACATCGATCAAATAAAAACTTAAGTGTCATGCCCAGGCCACTAAGCTATAATTAAACCTCAGATTTGAACTCCATCTTCTTTACTTCCTGATCAATCATAAGCGTTAGAAATGAAATAGGAAAAGATGATGCAAGGAGAAGCATATGGATGACTTGCCTCCAAGGAAATGGTCAATTTCTTAAAAATAAGGAATCCAATTTATCAAAATGAGCTCCAATACCACACCTAGTGGTCATAACTTTTAGATTAACCATTAACTTTCTCCAAAGTATGTCATGAACTTAAAATAGTAGGGCAAGGACATCTTACTTTTATTCAAATGTGTTCTGGGGCAAGATGTCAGGGGAAGGACCTGAACTCGTTTTATGACAAGAATCATTTTGGATACATACGGTAAACTTGAACAACACAGAATGGCTGTGAAGAAGAATGTTTACATTGATGTGCATGCAGATGATGTAACTATTTTTGTAAATTTAGTTTTCTTGGAAATGAAAGAAAATGTTCAAAGGTTCTGGCCAAACATTGCCACTGATGAAGCTCATTTTAAAATTACTCTTACGGGTAATGAAAGGAACCCATAAAGGCTCTCCTTGAAGTTAAAAGTGATGTTTTCATCAGGATATTCCCGTCACCGATTTAAAGGAACAGTAAAGATAACATTCCCTCTCACCTCTGTGGACGCCAGAGTAGCTCTGGGTTCACCAAGAAACAGCTCTCCAGAGGTGGGCCATCGGAGAAACACGGCATAGACCAACTTTTCCTTAGGTTTGTGTGTGTACCTGGTTAAAAGGGGGAAAGGCACAGCAGTATTTCTCATTAATTATGGGTCAAGCTTGGAATTATTTACAGAGATACTTCCATTTGGTAAATATTTACAACATCTTCATTAATAAAGAGAAGGAAAAATAGCCCCATGGTAGTGGAAAAAGCACCCAAAAGGATACTGATCCCAAGTCCAGTTGAGGGGAGACGGCTGCCCATACCACAAAGCAATATCAGACAGCATCGGGGGGTCCCACAGTTCCACTCAATTCTGACACTGTGCACCCAGAGATGGTGTCAGATCCCACCGGTTTAGAGTAGTTCCGGGGACAGTGACAGTAAACCAGGGCTGAAACCTCCAAGGACTTTACCGATAGACCTGGGAGTCTATTGCAGACAAAAAGGGGGTTCTGCAGAAAGTAACTGCACAGGATGATGTGTTCCCGGTGTGAGCAGGTGGTGGTGGTGGTGGCCAACACCCAAGGCATGGACCTTGTTTAGTAAAGCTTTCCCTTTGCTGTAAGCAAGCCCTGTCTATTATTTTTGTGCATTAAACACCTAGTTAACACATAAGCACCCTCAAGGAAGCACGTAATCTTGTTAACTATCCTGTAATCCAATCCCTGCCTTGCTTTCTGCCACCTTCACATACTCTGCCTTCCATTCCCTCCTTAATTCCAAATGCATAAAGGAAGCTGCAAGACGATCCTTCTCAGGAGCATTTGAGATCTTGCTTCCCGGCAGTTGTCAACAGTTTTGGCTCAAGAAACTCATTAGAATTCTCTGTCGGTCTGGGCGTTCCCTACATGGACACGTAGATGGCTGCTGAGAGGAGGGGCCCACGGATGAGACTGGGAGTGGAAGAGCACTCTCCGGGAGGAGGAGTGGGGAGCAGGGCCGCCAGAGGTGGAGCCCTTGGCAAGAGCCAGACACAGGGCTTTACAGGCCTTGTTGAATAGCTTGGCTTTTAGCTTTACTCATTTAAAGAAAATTTAATGGAATAACAGTTAATGATTGTGAAGTCCCAGATCAGATACTGTACTAGTCAAACATATGCACGGAAAAAAAAATTCCCAAACCAGAGTCCAACGAGCCTCTGTGAAATGAAGGCTCAGTACTGAGTTTTCACTATGGCTTCTCACAGCTCCGAAGCTCTGAACTTCTGCCATCTGTTGCTTCAGACTACATTGCCTTAGTTTCTTTTCTTCAGTGAGCTGAAATTTCTTTGTCATGTCAAGTGAAATCAAAGAATAACATTTAGTCTAATCTTTGGGTCTACACTTGGTCAGGCTACACTCACGTTGGTGGTGACACGAGGTGCATTTTCAGAGCCTCACTCACACTGCTCTTACCTATGAATAAGACCCCACATCAGAAGCCACAAATACACACAGAGTCTGGTTCAGGTATTCACTGGCCCACAGAGCCTTCCAAAACTCAGACAGGAGCCTAAGCCAAGGCTTTTAGCGAAAAATACAGTTGCCCTGGCTGGTGTAGCTCAGTGGATTGAACGTGGGCCTGCAAACCAAAGGATCACGGTTCGATTCCCAGTCAGGGCACATGCCTGGGTTGCAGACAAATTCCCAGCAGGGGACGCATGAGAGGCAACCACATATTGATGTTTCTTTCTCTCTGTCCTTCCCTTCCCCTCTAAAGATAAATAAATAAAATCTTTAAAAAACATACAGTAAAGAGAAAAATTAGCCAGTTAAGATAATCTCTTCTAAAGAAACTTCAGGTTTAGATTTACTTGACTACTATGAACAGGTTACACTTTTTTAATCAACTAAATGCTGTAACTAGAGCTAATCTGTAATATTTCACTGCCCTGTGGCACCTCTTGCTTGCTAGCCTGATTGATACAACATCTATAAGAGAAATTCCTTAACTGACTAAACAAGAGTCTCCCTTTGGAGTTAGCCACTCAGGGTTTTTCACTTTTCCAAATGACTCACAACTTTTATGAGTTGACTGCTTTCCACTAAAATTGATCCACCAGTCAGGGGTATTCACAGATGATTTAAGCTCGGTTTGCTAAACAGTAAGTGTTGAAGAACATGCTCATGTCTTCCCCTCCCTTCTCTTTACAGTAAATAAAGTTCAGAAAGTGTTTTATATTGACAGGCATTCACCCCATTTCCTTTTTCATCCTACTGTTCTCTTTATATCTCTGAGAAAACTTGAGTGCCTTCTTCAATCAAATAGCACTTGGTAAAAGAATAGCTCACCACACATCTGGGCTGACAGTGTCATTCTGAGATCTCCAAGTGCTGGTTTCATAAATGGCTTCTCCGTTGACTTTCAGCCACGTCCCCATTTGCCTCAACCGCTCCTCGAAAATCGGAGAAATGATGCCATCTTGTGTGGGTCCGATATTCATCAAAAGATTTCCTCCACACGAAACTGTTTCTACAAGTTGCTAAAACAATAAATTAAGAATGAATAGAGTTTTTAGAGAAAGAAAACAATTTCATCATGAACGTATCAATATATCGTGTTTACGGACTCACACGTGCGTGTAGGGTCACTATGTGGGAGAACCAGTGCTCGCTTCAGCGGCACATGCATTAAACTTGGAACTATCCCGGAGAACCAATGTGGAAGACAGAATAGGGTGGGTCTTGTGTAGCTGAAGAGCCTACACCTGTGTTTACAGGCTCTTGAGCTACACAAGTAGTAAAAAATGATTCCCACAAACCCACCCTAATAATTAAGAATAGTCCCATAACTGTTGTAAGGCATTCACTGAACCTTCACCAATTCTTCAATTGTAAGATAGTCACAGATCCCAGCGTTCCTCCGATAGCCCCAGGAAAACTTGTCTATTGTCATGCAGTTTTCCCACTTATGTGGCAAAAGATGTCCGGGGTTGTAACGATCACTGCAGGTGTAGTAGCCGCCGTGCTTACAGATGCTCCCAGCTCCCCAGCGGTCATTGGTGACCACGGTGTCCCGCACTGGGCTGAAAAGAGAAGTGTACTTTTTATACACAAAAAGTAAACTTTTTTTTTAACACAAAAGGAAACATCACTGAACAGAGGCCTGATTGAAGGCACCCCTGAAAATTCACCAAGGTGTAACACAACCAGCGCCCATGGCTTTGAAGTCAGGTAGACCTGGGCTGACTGCAGTCCTGTCTCTGTCTCTCTTTTAGAGCAAGTTACCCAGTTCCCGAGAAAACAATTGTCTCAGCTATTATTACACAAGAAATAACACATAGGACACTGTGCCCAGTCCCCAGCACTTAGAAGAGTACTAAACTATTATTGGAAGCTTCCCCTAATAGTATAAATGATACCCAACATTGAATTTACAATGAAGACATTCTTCTCGCCCATGACCAAATAATCCCATACAGACATTCTAGCCTCTCTCTTCCTCTTACAATTGTGCCCAGTATTGAAAAATCTCAGGGAAGTCAACTGTCACCATGGAGAAATTCAATGGAGTAGGAAATATCCCTACAAAGGTATTTATCATAACAGGTGGTACCCGTAGCACCTCTCTACTTGGAGGGGACGGTGCTGGTTCACAAATTGAAGTGCATGGCTCCCAGTCTTTCTGCTGGAAGGAGTCCATGAACAATGTGTTGTTTTTACTGTCAAGAGAGCTGCCCAGAGTATTTGTATGTGCGCCCTCTGGGGCTCAGGGAACCCAGCAGAACACTTCCTGGCTTCATAACACAATACCCAGTATCTTCTGTTGTAGTTACAAACGTAAACTTGTTCCACACAGTTTAAGTCTGATAGAGCGCTCAGTCAGGACTCTCTGCTCTACAGGGGGCAGGCTGGGCCATGCTGGGAAGCAACAGGGAAAGAACAGAAGACTTGAGAAATGATAGCGAGAAAAGGAGGCAGACAACGGGGACAGCGAGCAGCAAAGCTTATCAGAGGGTAAGAGGATAAAAAGCAGCAGCAATCAGAGACATCGAGAAGCACATGAGAACCAGTCATGAATCAAAACAGTCGTCCCAGAAAAGGAGATGAAAGTCGGGACCCGCAACATTCATTCGTGTCTTCAAACTCTGCATTCTGTGATTTTCAGTCTGATTTCAAAAGCAGGCTTTTGAGTTGCCTTTGACACCCGCTTTGTAACTCTTGACTATTTTTAGTTAATAGTAATGTCTCATAAGCCTTATTTATAATGATTCCCTTCCCCATACCATACAGGAGCCTGAAAGGGAATATTTCAAGAAGCAGGGGAATGAAAGGCTGCACCTGTGCGGAGCACGGTTAAGGTCATTACAGCAATCAGAGAGCATACGTGCCTCTCGTTGTACAGCCAGGCTAAGAACCCGGTGCTGTTCCAGTAGCGGTCGGGCGCCCCTCCGTCGCCGTCCGCCCACAGGACCTCCGGCCGGTACTCGTTCACCAGCTCCCGGAGCTCAGGCAGCGTCTTCGAAACGGGGAATTGCCGCTTCTGGAAGGAGCTGGATTCATCATCGAGGAAGAGCGGGTGGAACCACTCAAAGAGGGAGTAGTACAGTCCGAAGCGCAGGCCGGTCCTGCGCCTAATGGCCACCTCCAGTTCCTTGACCACGTCCCTCTTCGGCCCCTCGTCTACGGCGTTCCAGTTCCACGCGCGTGCGGAGCCCCACATGGCGAAGCCTGCACAATTATGTTAAAACCCTGTGTGAGCACGTCCACTGAATTACCCTAGGTCAGTCTCTACGAAGGCCAAAACAAACTTGATCAAACGTGGGATATAGAATTAACTGTCCCTATAAGCAACTCTTACAGTAATTTTTTTCATAGTATATATTCTGCTTTTACACATGAAAAAAATAAGAATTTAAACAAGGTCAACCGAGGTTTTTCAGAGTAATCTCAGGGGACCCACAAGGTCTGTATAGTCTGGTCTGTCTTCTGTATTCCACCCCCCCCCTGGAATGTAAGCTCCCTGGAGACAGCATCCCATCTGCTGCGTTCTCTGTGAAGTCCCCGGCCAAGCAAACGCGCGCCCAGGGGCTAATGTGAAATCAGCACCAGGAGGTCACGGCTAACATTAAAGCCTATTCCCTGGCTCTAGGATTATTTGTTTGATTATAGTGTGATTCTTAGAAGACTGGTGATCTATGTGGAGCAGCAAATCTCCTTTAGCTTCATTATTCATTGAACCGGTGCAGACAGTGGGTAAGGGGGCCGCGGGTAAGACCCTAGTCCTTGGTAGTAGCTCTATACTTTGCAATACTACACCCACCATTTGTAATCCCAGCCCTCTCTAAAGTCGTAAGTTTATATGTGGCTCCTTAAATTACCGTGAATTACCTACCAACTAAATGAGTAAGAAAAGTAATGTCTACCATTACACAACCACTGTGAAACAATTCATAGCTTTAAAGGAATTGGCATTAAGATCGCTGGTTGTTCTATCTAAAAATATTAGAAGCGTTACGTAAACTGATATACTTAAAAATGATATAAATGTCTCAACATTTTTAATTAGTGCTTAGGAACATAGGTACATTGTTATTATCCCGCCAAAATCTACAAGAATCTCTGAGAACACAGTGCATAAGGCACTTCTGTTGAAAAATTAACTTATAAATTAGGGCAAATCTAAGGGGGACACACTCTTTAGACTCATTGTTAAGACACTTTTAAAAGAGCTCACACTTGTTCGAAAGATGTCTGTGGCACACTCCAGAGCAGTGTGGATATTTAAAGTCTTAATCAAAACGTCTCCACTTGATGGGCCCTACGTCAGGCAGGGGGGTCCTCAGTGGGTGTCACCACCATAAGCTCCCACAGTGGTCTCCGCCTGACCAAGCTCGGCAGGCTCTTTCCCAGGTCCTAGGAAGTTTTTCAGTGTGAGCTTCAGCTTCTGTCCTCACAGTATTATTGCGCTGTTTTGTTTGTTTGTTTGTTTGTTTTTCAGTAAGCTCACTGCATAATACTTTGTGCCATACGGCTTGGAGAAGTTCCTAGAGCAGGAAATAAGTATGTTCACAAGCAAATACGCTTCATAAATATTCATCTAAGCAGGAGAAACCTTTATACAAAAAATTTATTAAGCCACTAGGATGTGGCCAGAGGAAAAAATATTCTAAAATAATTCCATATTTGTGGTTTTGGTTGTTCCCTCCTATTCCCCTCCACACCCTTGAAGAAAGCAATGGGGCAAAAATTCTTACCCCGAGACAAAGGTGGGCTTGCAGAGAAAACTGTCGAATGAATTAACAGGAAGTTGGGGAAGTAACAATTTATCGATGCTTTCTTGATCTTACAAACTCTTGAATGGTGATGGGTACAAACAATCCTACTAATCTAGGACCACAGTGACGGCCAAGTTCACTGGGCCACACGGTACCCATATTTAGCTAAATATTTAGATATTTAGATATTTAGATATTTAGCTAAACCTTATTCTTGGTATATCTAAGGGTATTGCTATGTGAGATTAACATTTAAATTAGTAGACTGCGTAAAGCAGATTGCCCTCCCAAATGTGGTGGGCCTCATCCAATCTGTGGAAGCCTAAGTAGAATAAACAGCTGAGTTAGAAAAATTCTCTCTGTCTGCCTGTCTTTGAGCTGAGACATTGGTCTTCTTCACCTTTGGACCCAGACTTGGATTAGAACCTACATCATTAACCCTCCTGGTTCTCAGGCCTTTGGACTGGAACTATAGTATCAGCTCTCTTGGGTCTGGACCACTCAGCATCCATAATTGTGTGAGTTAATTTCATACAATAAATCTTTTTACATCTATTATACTTCCTGCTGGTCTGTTTGTCTGGGAAACTAATACAACCACTCTGTTTTCTTTTAGCTGTTCTTCTACCATCTCTCTGATATTTCTGGTCACCATTACATTTCCACAGTCTTTTTCCTTTCAGATAATCTGTGTCAGTTTCTTCATTAGCAGATTGTCTCCCATTTGGCCATGTAGGAGTTGGCCGAAAGCACAGCCACAAGTGTCATTGATGATGCTACACTACAGCAGCATAACCCCAGGGTGCCTTCCCAGAATGCATTATAGAGATGGAATGAAAGGAAAGATACTAATTCCAGTTATAAACTGTGACCTGCACCCCACATCCCACTTCAAATGGCCTTAATCAAGTTTTGGAAATATTGTTAAATATGCATAAAATAAAATGTGATCATTTTTATTCTGTTATGTGAGGGTATGATCTTTCTGCTCACCAAATGCCTCTTAATTGGGTGGAACATGTGTCTCCTTAAATTATAAGCACAATGTCAGCAGCCACTTACGGTCGCTCCCAAGAGAAAATTCTGATTTCCTGTGGATGGCCTTGCTTTAGTCTCTTCCAAAAGAACGACTTTACATTCCATAACCATCATCTGTGTTTGCAAATGTTGCACTTACTTACCTTCGTGATGTTTGGAAGTTAAGACAACGTATTTGGCACCAGACGCCTGAAAAATATCTGCCCACTGGTTCGCATTAAAAAACTTGGCTGTAAATAGTGGTCCAAAATCTTCATATTTGAAATCAGGAGGGTAATTATTTTTCATAAAGTCCACAAACTTTGGTATCTTTTCCTTTTGCCAGTACCACCTACGTGGAGGAACAGAGACAAGCACGTAAAACATACAGACGTTTGAAATAATCACGCCAGCTCTCTCGCCGACTCCCCCCTCTCTCAGATACTACCCACATTCCCTTTCTCACTTCCCATCAGTTCAACTTTTCCTGAAAGAAAGCTTATGTAAACCAAATTTCCTCTCATTTTCCATCTATCCCTCTGTAAAATCCACTCAGCTCACACACTAGACCGTTCTATACAACCCAGCCACACATTTGCTATTAGTTCCCCACTTTTAAATTGTAACAGGTAGTATGTATCTTTGTAACATAAGTGAGGAAGGCTTCAGAAGGAAAACTAAGTTCCTAAAACATAACATGGATCTATTACATTTACTAGCAGAGAACAGTTAAATTAAGAAGACGCTGTTATTTTAATGTATTGACTCAATCTTCAAGGGTTACTTGTTATATGCATTTATTCTGAGCAGTAGGGTTGAAACTTCCTTAGCAAGGCCTCATGAGGAAAAGAGTATCAAAATATAATGAATTTTGCTATGTATAATGTGCACTTTTTTGCCCAAATTTTTGAGGGTAAAATAAGGATGTGCATTATACATGGGTAGTACTAATTCCATATCTATATAAATGTCTTTAATTCTTTTATTTATGTTTATGTGTTGAAAGTGTAACTCTAGAAAGCAATAACAATATCCACATGCAAAATAATACCCTGCAATATGATCATCGGTTTTGTTTCTAAATATAAATAAATGAATAATTGAATTAAAAAATTAAAATTAAAGATTTTCCCCAAAAGTGTGAGCCAAAAACATGGATGCACATCCATGCACATTATACACGGCAAAATACAGTATGCATTTTAGATGAACATAGCAATAACCGTCCTCATGAAACAGTCTCAAGCCCCGCCCCTGACCCATCTTCTGCTTTCTCCACTTCTATCCTTTCGCAGAGCAGTTCTACAAGATGAGCAAATCCGTCATTGGCACTCCATCCCCACAGGTGACCAAGAGGTTCTTCCTGCTGAAAAGCCTTCATTGAAGACATCGTATGTCGCAGCCACTGTTGTTTGCTGGCTCAAAAGTCAGACACGTAATTTCCCAGCTTCCACTGCAGCTTGGACATGGACACGTGACCCACACTGATCAGTGGAATTTAAGGGGAAGCTGACTTGGGAGATTCCAGAAATTGAGAAGAAGAGACACTGGGCCTCCTGCCATCGGACAAGGTTGTGTGAAGTTACAGCTGGCCACCATCGTGTGACCATGAAGGATGGAGTCAACAACAGGCTGAGTGTGACAGAAAGAGCCCATGTCTCTGATTTCACCAACGAACCAACCAATTCTCACTATGTATGATAACAGGCCCCTATTATGTATGTTTTATTTGGATTTTCTATGCCTTGAACCGAAAGTATCCTGATTGATCCACGGCACATATTTACCTTTTAAATGGAACTGTAATACAGAAAGTGGGACAGTGAGAAAGTTGAACAGGAATTAGGGACTTCTATTTTCTTCCTGCACAGTCTAATATGAACCTGTATTCTCTCTATTGTATAGAGCCACTTCTCAAATTTCATGCTAAAAGACATGAAAAGAGGTACTTGAAAAGTCTACCATTTACATTTGGTTTTGAATTGCCATTAAAAACAGCCAAATATACTCATCACTGCTGTTGACCACCCCTGAGTCAAACTGCGATGGGGTTTAGAGAAGACATGAAGGAACCCACGATAATTAAAAAATCCTCCACACTACAGAGTGAATGTCCTTCCACCTATCAGAAATATACTCTATTTTGTTTTGATTGAGAAGCATCTTAATTGTTCTTGGTCACAGAAAACAACCCTGTGATCATTTGTAGAAAATAAAAAGTTTACCATTACAAAGAATAAAGTTACTAAAAACTAGCTGTTTGTGGCAGAGCACCAGTCTCCATGAACAAACATCAACTATTCTTCCAGCACCAAATGTATATCTACCTGATCACCATGAATGAACAAAATGATAACTTAAAATGCAGTGGATTATATTTAATAAAAGAAGAAGAAACTCTGTTAACTTATGTACCTAGCTAATCTGAAACATTTCAAAGAACCACCAAATGCCTATAGCGCAAAACTTGCAAATAAAGACTTATGTCATCCTGAAGTAAATACGGTTGAAAATATATGATATGGTGAGAAAGAATCCCTTGTTCACAAGCTGCTTTCCAAAGAGTAGATGACTAGTACTCTGCAGGGTGCACGACTGGACTAACTTAATGAGGAAGGTCATTGGTTGCAGAAAGTCAATGTCTTTGTAGAAAATGGTACAATGTATACTACGCAATGTTGATACAGTCTAGAGTTTATACTATATACTACGTAAAGTATGTGTTAAATTTGATGTGCACTATATCATATGTATAGTATAAAGAGTTATGCACTGTATAATATATACAGTATATAATAGATTTAAATACTCATTTTTATTTTTATTTTACTTAGGAATATATGTATATATATGAACATGCATATATATTTGATTACATTTCAATCTTGAAGAATTTAACACCCGAAGTAATCAGGAAAGGCATGTAAAACATGTCAAAGTTGTAGATTACAAGCACATTTTTACAGAGGCCTCAAGGCAAAACCTAAAGAGCAATTGCTTGTGCAACACCTTCCATATAGTAGACTATTAATAATTAAACCTTTTTAAAATCAAGGTAACATTCTAGAACCTTCTTTAAACATCCCTAGAGGCACGTGGTAACATTTTAACATTAAAGAGCCAATAGCTGCCCAAAAGAGCAGACATTTCCCACACCCATGAATTCTCATTTTAACCCTACGGAATGACTGAAAATGAGCAGGTGGCAGATGGGACACCGGGAGTCTCCCGGGACAGTTAGGCCCAAGCTTCAAGGCTTATCATTGGACACAAGTTGATGAATTTCTGCCATCCTAGACGTTTGACAGCTACACCGTGTGTGGTACATACAAGTTGGTAAGGGCAACTATCCAGAAGCTGGGAAGTCAGAGCAGCCTCAAGTGTCTGACAATTACTGCAGTCATGTGGAGGGAAGAGGCACAATAAGGCATTTAATGCCCAGGAATTCTAAACGCGGATAAACCACTAGGAGGCGAAACTGGAAGCGGTGGCTGGGGCCTGGCTGGAGGCCGAGGGTCAAAACGAGGGTCCGAGGATAAGCGGATAGAGGCGCACTCACCAGAACCATTCGCTCCCGAAACTGGGCACGGAGAACACGCCCCAGTGGATGAAGATGCCAAACTTGGCCTGATCGAACCAAGCGGGCAGCTGTCGGGCGTCCAGGGACTCCCAGGTGGGGTCGAAGCGCGCGGCGCTGCGGGCGGGACACTGCCTGGGGGGCAGCAGCAGCACCACCACCAGCACCGGCAGCAGCGGGAACGCGAGCCCTGGCAGCTCCAGGACCCGCATGTCCCTACGCCCTCCGAGCCCTGCTCGCGTCCTTCCGTGTCCCCAGCCGAGAACGCTCCGCCTCGGTCACCTGACCAAACTGTCAGGGAGAAAGGCCGGGTCCAGGCTCGGGCAGCGGGGACCGCTCGCTGGGCGCTGGAGGGCCGCCTCGCTCATTTGTGCACCTAAAGCTTTTCACTCCGAGGCCAGCACTACGGCTGCTTAGCTCACGCTCCGGGTCCATCTTAGCCGTTTGAGAAGGGCGGCGAAGAAAGGCACCGGAAACGACCCAGATCATTCTCAGCTTCTGGGTGCCTGAGACTGTATCAGGTGAAACTCCAAGAGTTTCAAATTCAGGGTGGGCGCCCATAATGTGCATTTCGAACCAAGTTCTAGTTGCTGCTGTTGCTGGTTCAGGCGCCAGCCTCCAAGAACCACTGCACTGGAAACCAAGGTGCCCTAAGACGGGTGAAACCAGTGTAATGAAAGTTTGAGAAATCGGCAGCCTTGCAGAAGAAGCCCGAAACTTGGAGGGCTTAATCAAGGGGCAAGGCCAAAGCTCACGCCTCCTCCTCCTAGGCATACAGAGTGAAGCCAGAACCCCCACCTCTTCTGCCCTGCACAACGTCTCTCCTCTTTCAATGGACTGGTTCAAATGTCACCTCCGCCCAGTTTTCTATCACCACCTTCTTATCTCCCTACGATTTACTCCCTGCTGTGTGTTCCTATTAACATTTGATTCCAACCTCTAAAATAGGATTCCAAAGATCGGCTTGTGGTTGGGAGGAAACAGATCTCACTTCTCACCAGGCTGTGAGCTTCCAGAGGGCAGGGGTAGTGACCTCCGTTCCTGTCGCCCCTGCATTTAAGGCAGGGCCTGGCACAGGGCAGCGCTCACAGCATGTGAAGGGAAGTTCTGTAGTGAGTCAGAACTAGCGCTCTAATTACGAAGCGTATTAAAAGGATGAAGAACATGAGGACTTACAGAAACTTTAATAACCATGTTTTGCCATGTATAATGAGCACTTTTTTTGCCCAAATATTTGTGGGAAAAATAAGGACATGCATTATACACGGGTAGTACTAATTCCTTATCTAGGAAAATGTTTTTAATTCTTTTATTTAGGCTTATGCATTAAAAGTGTAACTCTAAAAAGCAATAATGATATCCGTATGCAAAATAGTACCCTGGAATAGGATAACCGGTTTTGTTTCTAAATATAAATAAAATATTGAATTAAAAAATTAAAACAAGCTTTTTTTCCTGAAAGTTTGGGTCGAAAAAGTGGGTTCGTATTATACATGGCAAAATACAGTACTTTGTGGCCCAACATTGGGATTTTTGCCGCTTGAACTCTGAGGCTGCTTACAGGGCGTGACTCTCTACAACCTGGACTTGGAAACTGCTGGTAGAACCAAGGGCCACTGTGTCTGATTTCAGTTTGGAGGTCACCAAAGCTTAGTTCTACAAGCCTGAACCAGAACCGGGCCAATACCAAATGCTCGATCACACACTATCTATTTTTCCCTCTCATAGCCACATTTGCTGACCACTGAGTGAGCTGCCTGTTGAAAGCCCGATTGCCCCTGCCATTTGGAAAACAAATAATTTAAGTTCGTGGTTTTGTTTCCCGTCCCCTAGCAACCTATCCCCTTGCTACAACTTACACCTTTCAAAAAAATCAAACAAAAAACAACCTGTTCTCTCCCCCTCCCATCTCTGTATATGTCTTCAGTTCATACTGAGGGCTAGCCCCTGGATTGCAAATCATATATGGATAAAACCCTTAACATCTTTTGGAATTTTTGTTAACAAAGGAAGTGACACTAAGTAGCGGTTGCCCTCACTCTCTGTCGGATCTCTGCAAAGACATGGCAGCAGCAGCTGCCACTGTCATCCCAGGTGTACGGGGCATTCAGGCACTTGACACAGTGTAACAACTCCCCCCACCTGCAGCTGCAGGATACAGTGCCTCCCCCTTCTGCTCGGCCCCCACATCTCCCCAAGGCGATGGGGCTCCTGGCAGAGAGGGATCAGGGAATCCACTCAACACAGATGACCAACTGCAACAACCCCAGTTAGTGACAAAGTGGATGCTGATTTTTATTATTTAGTCTTTGATCCTAGAACGATCTAAGGACTTCAATGGCCACTGAGCCCCCAGGGCACATTTTACAAAAAAGTGGACATTTTAGCCATCACACCTTCACGTCCCTTGAAACAGTTTTGTGAAATAAGTGGCGAAGACATTTTTCACAGTGACAATGAGATTGTGATCTCTTAAAGGGAGAGTAGACAGCCAAGTGACAATGCAGCGGGCGGGGGGGGGGCTTGTCTTCTCATCAGGCATTTGCCGATGTGAACCCCACATTTTGAAAGATTCCACTTCCCAAACAAGTTATTTATCATTCAAAAAAGTATTTGCATATTCATGTATTTCTGTTAATCAGACCTCCCGATATGCACACGTCATTTATGATTTCACTTGAAGGTAATGAAATTTTTAGTCACTAGGTACCATCTTAACCTAAAATTAAAATTTCTGTAGGAAATACTGAAAAAAGAGGGCACTTCCTTAGTGCCCTTGGGGACACACAAGAATCCTAGAACACCACACAGGGAACCACTGATCCAGAATTCAGAATAAATAGGAAAGAGATTTATTTGGAAATGAAGAGGAAGAAGAGATTCTACTCTAAATAAGATGGCTAAAAGAATGAAATTTATAAAATATTTTATTTTTTAAGATTTTATTTATTTATTTTTAGAGAGGGGGGAAGGGAGAAAGAGAGGGAGAGAAACATCAGTGTGTGGTTGCCCCTCATGCTCCCTCCACTGGGGGCCTGGCCCACAAACCCAGGCCTGTGCCCTGACTGGGAGTCAAACCGGTGACCCTTTGGTTTGCAGGCCGGCACTCAATCCACTGGGCCACCAGGCCTATGAAATAGTTTAAAACATGGTCGCTTACAAAGAGAACATCATGCAGTACAATGCACTTCACATTTTATAAGATAATACATTACAAACCTACTGTTGTTGCACTTAAAGCTACTGCTCATTAGCCAGGGGACCACACTGCCTTAAGACTTTAACTTTATTAAAAGTTTTGATAGAGGATCCAATTACCTGAGAAACGACAGGTTCCCCATGGCTCATTTGGGGGGGCCTTGTCCCTCCATAGAAAACTCTGACAAGGAGCCCTGATCCCATTCTGTTTGACGCCACCATAAGGTACCAGATGAAGAAATTAAAGGGCCTTTGTCCCTGTAGCAACAGGTGAAGCCAGCACAGTCGGCAGTCACATGCTGGGCAGTGGCAGGTACACGGGGTGCTTACCTTGGTTGGTGCTCCTGATTTCCCCAGCAAGAGGGGGCAGGAGGCCGGCCCTGGACAGCCTCTTTGTGCTGCAGGAGGAAGTCCTCACGTCACTGCTGTCCTCTCCGGGTTATCGGCAGCTGACACCCGAGTGAGGCTCTCTAGAGCACGTTCTGTGTCTCTGTGTGGGGGTTGGACGACTGCCAGCCACCCGTCTCAGCAGTTCCCAGAATTCCTCTGAAGTGGGTAGTGGAAGAGGTGAAGCATTTGCCTCCCAGACGAGGTCAACACACAGCCTCTGCCTGTAAATGCAGAACGGCATTCAAAACAAACTGCACCCGATTCATTCTTTATACGGCAAGAAACCAGCTCTATGGGAAAAACAAGCTGATGATGCGGGGGAATAAAATCCTCCCCTTTACTGGCCTGGAGCTGGGCAATGGAAGGAGGACTGATGGGGAAGGCCACAGCGTTCAGGGCAGGCACAGCAGGACACGGAGCGTGAGGGCACAGGTTCTGCACCCTTGGCGTGGGATTTCCATGCCGGCTCCTTCCACTACCACCAGACCGTGTGATTTCTGAGAGCCACTCAACATCTCTGGGCCTCAGTTTCTGTACCTATTGGATGTGAAAATAGAAATAACGGTACATCTTCCCCCAAGGATTGCTGTGCAAACTAGATCACGCAAAGCACATGCTAAGCCTCATCTAAGTGTCGACTAGCATTATGTATATTAGGTGAATCAGTGGAGGCTAAGGGACGGCATCTCTGTCTGGAATCCCATTGAAGATTCCAGAGGAAGCCGTTTAAATTCACTGGTAAATTTCACTAGGAGAAGCTGTGTTGTTAGGTGAAGAGAGAAGCTTCTTTTTAGCTTTCCCTGGTGACCTTGATACTTAAGTGATACACACAGGACCCAGAAGTAGCTGAGACCCCACCATGAAATCCCGTTGGAGTGGTTTCCTGTGGCCAGTCCTCTGTGCTGAGAATACAGAGTTTGCAGCCATCCTCGGACAACTCCATCACAGCAGTGCAAGCTAAGGCGGGCCCAGCACAGACCAGATCACGAATCAGAGCAGCTTCAGGCTCCATCTGCAAACACCGACAGGGCAAGCGTCAGTGCCCCGGTCCCTGGAGAGCAACGCCAAAGCCTCCCACCTACAACCCCTCGTCACCTTAGGGAGCAGCAAGGGTGGGGAAGGATCTAAAGCGTGGAGTGTTTTTACCCCAAAAAGAGGCTAAATATTTGTTAATAGGGCTGTCTGATTTACAGGAGTTATCTACATTTAGTCCAGATAGAACAATTAATGTTGGCCACCAACCAAGAGAGAGGGACAGCGTACTGGTCTGCCAAGGCAAGCAGTTTGACTACAAACAAGACAAAGGAGCCACCTGGCCTCTGTGCGAGGGTGGGGACCATGGGGTCACGTGAGGACCCTGAGCTTCTGAGTGCGAGACACTTGCCTTCTATTTTACTCCTTCCCTAAGTCTTTTTTTTAAAGATTTTGTTTATTTATTTTTAGAGAAGGGGTAAGGAGGGAGAAGGAAAGGAAGAGAAACATCAATGTGTGGCTGCCTCCCTACTGGGGACCCGGCCTGCAACCCAGGTATGTGCCCTGACTGGGAATCAAACCAGCAACCCTTTGGTTGGCAGGGCAGTGCTCCATGCACTGGGTCACACCAGCCTTCACTGAAAAGCTGAATGATCTAATTAGTGTACATACACG